TTGTGTAATGAAATCAGTAATCATCTACTATAACGAATAATTTGTTAACGCTATAACGAATTATTCGTTATACATTCTGCATAATTCGTTATAGTGTTAACAAAGATTCTTATAACGAAGTCCTGATCAGCTGGATTGGCAATTTCGTTATATCGAGGTGTGACTGTATTATTTTTTAGATGAAAAAATAACTTTGTAAAAAAGTTTGACAAAAATGCAATTAGATTGCCATTACTTTAAGTATTTGCTCTATTTTATCATCTAATCTTTCATAATTCTCCTTCTTAGTTATATGATAATAAAGCTTATATAATTTATCTAAACTATTATATAGATTATTATCTTTATATCTTTTACGATAATTTTCTAATCTTTCAGTATATGCTTCTTTCTTAAGGAATATCTTTACTGTAAGTGTCTTAATATAGTTATTTAAATCCTTTTCAGCTCACATTTTCTTTAAGTAGTCTCCATAATTTTTTGTAAGATTATTATATTTTCTGTATTTTTATAATAAAAAAAAAAATATCAAAAAAATAAAAATAAATTAATATTAAATTTAATTAAAATTATTTTTCTTAAAAAAGATAAAAATTGATTTTTTTTAATAAGTTTTATCTTTTTTATTATAAAGTTCATATAAAAATTTTAAAAAAAATTAAAAGAACTTTTTTTTAAGTTAATATTAAATATAAATATTTTTACTAAAAAAATTATAATATAAAATTTTATTGTTTTTTGAGTTTTTTTCTTTTTATTATATATCATTTATATTTTAAATAATTAAATCTAAAATACTAGTATAAAAAAATTTAACTTTAAACATTTGATAGAAATATAATAAAATTCTAATATTAGATTAAATGAATAAGTTTTATAATTTATTTATATATAAAATTTTTAATAGTATTACATAAATATAAATTGTAATTAGTTGTAATTAATTATAATTAATTATAACTATTTATTTTTATAAATTTTAAGTATTTGTAGTTATATTTAATTATATTAAAATTATTTAAAATGTAAATAAATATAATTTTTATAATGAATATTTTTTAATTATGATTTATATTTAAATTATACCTAAAGATTATTTTTACTAAATATTTATCCCTTCAACTATTTTATCTATAAATTTATAAGCAATTTTATTTATTAATTACAATTATTTTTAATTATTTTTTTAAATATTTTAAAATATTAATACTTTTATAATAAATTTTATGATGTTTTTTAAGTAAAAATTAAAAAATATATAATTAACTAGTGATTTTTTAAATATAAATAAATAATAAGATTATTATAAAAAAAATTAAAATTTTAAACTCATATATCTTATTATTTATCAATTTCAGAAATATAAAAATACTACTATTTAATAGATTTTAATATGATAAATCCAATAAATTAAATTTTATATTTTTGTAATTATTAAATAATAAATTATTTTTAAAAATTAAAAAATTAATATATATTGATAATTATAAATTTTAAAAGTTTGAAAATGCTACTATTAGATATATTATAATATGATAAATCTAAAAATTTTATTTTATTTTTTTATAATTATTAAATATCAAAATATTTTAACTTTTTTAAAATGTTTTAGAAATAATTTTATACTTGCAGATTAAGAGATAATATAATTAATATAGTATAGTAAATAAATATTATATTAAATAATTAATATAAATAATATAATTATTATAATTAATAATTAAATATATTTATATAGTAATACAATTAATATATCATTATATATAATTAAAAAATATATTAAAATTGTAATTAATTATAATTAAATAATAATCATTATATTATTATATACATATATTTCTTAATCTTAACTATATAGTTTTTATTTTTCTTAATAATTATTATATATATTTAAGGTTGCTAAATAAAATTTAGAGATTTTGCAAGTTATTTAAATGGAAAAAGATAAAATTTAACAAAATGATATTAAAACCTTATTAAAAAAGTTGCAAAATTCTAAAAAAAGTAAAACTATATCAAAACTTATAAAAATGTAAAATTATATTAAAACCTTAATAAAAAATTAGCAAAATTATAGTTTAAACATTTTAATAAATTCAAAAAAGGCTAGACAAGTAACCTTATATGTATTTCTTTAACAATTACTATATATATTATTCTTAATAATTTACTATTTATATTTTTTCTTTATAATTATTTATATATTTTTCTTTTAATTTTTATTTAATGCTTTTAGTTTCTTCTCATTTTTATTTGTTTCATTTTTATTTTATTTTATTTATTTTTTTTTGTTTTATTTTTATTCTTTATCTTAAAATTATAATTTTATATAAATTGTTTTTAATAATTAATTTATATATTGAATTATTATTATAAATCTATATTTTTTTATAATTAAATAATTTTACTATATAAATTATAAAAAATTTATCTTTTAAATATTATATTTAATATAATCTGTAAAGATTATATATTAATATTATATCTTAAATAAAATTAAATAAAATTAATTAATTAAAAGTAAAAATTGGATCTTAAAATTAAAACTTAATTATAATTAGATAATTTTAAAATTTATACTATTTTTTTTTAAATTAATTTTAATTTATATAAACTAATACTTGTAATTATTTATAAATTTTACAATAAATAAATTTACTATATAAATTTTTTAAAATAAAAAATTATTTTAAATTAATAATAAACCAACTTTTAATATAATAAATTCTTCTATATTTAACTAATTAATATATCAAAAATCTTTTATTATAAAATTATAATAAACTTAAAATGCAACTTAAATTATAAAAAAATAATTTAAAATACTAATTATTATTATTATTATTATAATATATAATATTAAAGTTTATTAATTAAAAAGATTTAATTAATTATTTTAATATAAATACTTTGTAATAAAAAGAAAAAAAATTTGTATAAAAATTAAATTATCTTATTTTACATCTTAAATATAATAAAAAAGAAAGTAGTAATTATTTCAAATAATTATAACAATTAGTTGTGTTATATGTCACATGGTTTAAGTAATTTAGGATTAGTATATTAAATCACGTGATATAAACTGACCCTTCCCCCCCCCCTTTTTTTTAAAAAAAAATACAATCTTTTCTTATTTCATTCTTATTTCACATTTAAAAAAAAAAAATATACATATTATTAAAATAAAGCTTTACAAAATGCAATACTATTAAACCAGTAATATAAACGTGTAACTGTAACTAAAACATAAACTTGTAACGATAATTGTTATAAAAAAAATGTGACAATTTATCGGAAATGTTCAGGCTGACCGAAAAAATTTCCGAAGTCCTACTATAAAGTCATATAAAAAAATTTCCGCCGACGTAAAAATTTCCACCTAAATTAACATTTGACCAATCGCCACATTTGGTCAGAAAACTATGGAATTATGTTTGTGCAAGTTAGTAACTTGTCGCAAATTTTGCTTGCACGACGTAATAACTGCCCAAAACCCTTTGAAATTAACCTTTCCAGAGCGTCCTTCCCCCTTTGCACGGCCTTCTCTTTCCGCCCGCTCCAAGATTTACAAGATAACAAAAAGGTGCGTGTTTCTTTTGTCTACTTTGTCACTTCTCAATCACCCTGAAGCTGCTGTCACTTGAGGGTGTTGAGTTTGACATTGGCAATCTCGAACCCGCCATCGTAGATTTTCTGTCATCTTTCTGCTGCACATCTAACAAAACACTCACTTAGGGGCTCCCAATTTTCCAACTGTCACACTCCTTAGTCCTTATTTAAAATTTTATAAAAAAGAGTAAACTTCCTGGTCGTTTTCCGTGCCGAAAGACTCGGTTATGATAAGTTTGCGATATTGCCGATAATAATAAATTGCGTATTCCCCTCACACATCCCCTCCAACAATTACAATCAAGTAAACTCTTGTCAAGTTGTCTATCAACTTTCGTTCCATATATTGTCTAAAACTACGAAGACTCTTAAAATCTCTTTCCTACATTTCCATCCTTCCGTTATTTTCGTACGGCCAACTTAGGTTATCTATCTGCAGCTGTATTTTTCTTACTTTGGGTTAGCCTCTAAAGCATTTTTCAAATTATTCTTTCATTTCCTTTGTATTTTGATTTTGTTAACGGTTTAATTGTTTAATTCATAAATTAATTTGAATATCCCTAAATTTAACCTCTTTCTCACTTTTCATTCTCTTTGATTAGAATTTGATTTCATTTTCAACCATAATACATATACATTCATAAAATTTCGATATGAGTCAGTCGCCAATCACTCAAGTTAGTCCTGAAAATGACCTTGGTGTGCCACAAGGCATAATAACGCAGGCTTCGGAGTCGAAATTTATTATCGGAACGAAAACAGAAGGTAACGTATCATCTTATAATCTTTTTTTGTATATGTAGAAGTTATATATTTGAATTTATAAATCGAAAAAGCTTTACCTAGTGAATAGTATGGAAACTAAGTATATTTAATATATATTGGATGTAATTATGTCAAAGGACAAATAAAATGTAGTTCAAGGAAGGTTATTTTTAAATAATTTCCAATAATAATGAGGTTTACTTTATTTTATTAAGAGTTAGCAAACAAATCTACACCAGCCAAAAATATTTCCATCTCGACAAGCAATACGTCCACTACACTCGCAAATGTAGAAGAACCTTCGTTACCGGCAAGTCAAAAATCCCCTAATAATACAGCAACACAACGTCCACCACCACGTTCATTTTTATCGTTGTTTTTTTGTTGTACATGGGGAGCTGGCGCGATGATAAACGATGTTGACAGGGCTGATAATGCTACCACTGCTCCTACTTCTAGTACTCCATCTGGGACTGTGAGTAATAAAAGCATTACTAAAAAACCAACAACCTCATCCACGACAGAACCAGAAAAATCTGCTCAAGATAGTCTGCCGGTGATTCCCGAACCAATTCCGGAAGTACTAATTGAAGAGGTAATTATCTACTCTTCATCTGCTTTTTCTAAAATGAATTTTTTATTTTATTTTTGTTCGTTATTCTAATTCAAATTTTTTGTTAGGTCGAACGTAAATGGTTGCTTGACCCAATAGGATCTGAACATACTGGCAGAAAGTGTCTAGTATTAGATTTGGATGAAACCTTAGTACATAGTTCCTTTAAGGTAAGGCGTTACATTTACTCGTACATTCATCAATATTTTTTTTCGTATGTTCTTATTTTCAATGAAATTTCTTTTTATCATGGTAGATGATCCATCAAGCCGACTTTGTTGTACCAGTTGAAATTGAAAATCAAATACACAATGTCTATGTGATAAAACGTCCCGGAGTTGATCAATTTTTGAAAAAAATGGGGGAAATATATGAGATTGTAGTATTTACCGCTAGTTTGTCAAAGGTTCGCTACTTTGCTTTCTTTGGACTGTTAAAATTATCATGATAATTAATTAATTAATTAATTTTTTTTTTTTGAAATAATAGTACGCCGACCCTGTCCTTAACATGTTAGATATACATAAGGTGGTTAAACATCGGTTATTTAGAGAATCATGTTTTAATCATAAAGGAAATTATGTGAAAGTGAGAAATCCTAATTGGTTTGTGTACTTTGTTCTCATTAAATCAGAGTAAAGTTCTAATATTTATATAATTTAATGATATTTAGGATTTATCCCAACTTGGTCGGGAACTTAGAGATACTATCATCATTGATAACTCTCCCGCAAGTTATATCTTTCATCAAAATAATGCTGTTCCTATATCGTCATGGTTTAATGACCCACACGATACGGAATTGTTGGATTTAATACCATTTTTGGAAGATTTAACAACGGTGGACGATGTAATGATGGTTTTGGATTCTTACAATGAAGCGCACTAGAAAATCTGATGCAAGGACAATTCCTGAACATAGCAGGTGGTGCTGTATATTCAGCACAGACTTGGAATACATCATGTTCACAGCTGCTTTCTTGACTCTCACACGGGATTGTCAAAGATATAGATTTTCTTTAACATTATTTTGGACCCTGGAATTCAAGAAGGCAGCTCGTGGAATTATGACTTTCACCCTATTGAATTTTTTTTTCCTTTTAATCGACCTTGGTACGGATTTGGGGGATTTGGGTTTCTAGGTCTTTCGTCAATATCAAAAAGATTGGACTGTCTCATAATAGTAAATTTGAGATTAACTATTTGTTATAATTTTACTTTAGTGCGCGAGATGTATAATAGCTTATTTTTATGTTCTTGGTGGGCGCTATCGAGTAATACTGGACACACTCTTCTCTTTTTCTTCACATTAGATTATTATCAAGGGGAAATTATGGATTTTTTGGTCGGTACCCCGCGGGCGATGTATACCGACTTTATATTCTGAAACTTTATTCTCTCGCCAATCCGAATATATATATATTAAACATATTGAATATATGTATTAGGATTAGTATGGTTAGGGAAGTTTTCTTGACCGGTTTATTATTGTAGTTTTTTATGATAAATTTTATTTTTATATATATATATATTTTTTCAATTTTCTTTTCATTTTTTTTTTTCAATTTCTTTATTTCTTAATATATACAGTATTATATATATTCTTCTTAATAATCTATTGTAGATTCTCTTTCCCCCCCCCTTTTTTTTTCCTTTTAAAAAAAAAAGTTATTTTTATTTCTATTTTTAAAAATTGATTATTTCGTGTTGGTGAGTAGAAATATTTATGATGGATTTATATCATCGCCCTAAACATTTTCTTTTATTTTATCGTCCCAATTTTCCTTTAAATTTTTAAATTACATTTTTCATTGTTTAATTTTCCTCAGAATTGATTTTTTTTTATTTGCTTTTTTAAAAAAGATAAAAAAAAAGTTGATCTAATTATTTTACTGTAAATTTTAATTCCGTCAACTGAAAACATTCACTCGCTCGTACTATTTATTATTATAATGTGTTTCTTTTTATTATAATTAATTAATTATTATTATTATTATTATTATTATTATAATATTATTTAGAAAGTTGCTTTAACGTTTGATTCGTGCTTATAGTTTTTATTTACAGTGAAAATAATTTCGTTCGTACGGTATTCCGAGATTATTAACTTCAGTGTGGTAAGAGAAAATGTATTGTTTTATTGTTGTCATCAATAATAATACTATTTAGTATAAATAAAAACTGAAACGAGAACAGTCCATATTTTTAGTAAATTGCTTCGTTGTTTGACGAAATTTAAATATAAAGTGAATGTCTTTTTTATTTTGATTTTTTCAAAAACCATAATGTAGTACAAGATTTACTTTGCATAGGAAATAAATTAAACTATTGTTACACTTAAAAAAAAATTTTTATTGTTTGTGAAAATGAAAAAAAAATTCTTATTTATATATATTTTTTGCCCTTTTGTCCTTGTTTATTTTTTTTTTTGTATGCAATATTTACATATGTAGATTATTCTGAGATAAATTCAAAATGAGATCGTTTTGCCTCATTTTTGCGCTTGTTGATCTTCTTTTGCGCAATAAAGTGTGTGGATCAAAATCTCGTGCCATTGGTTGATCGGTAGCGGCCCGTTTAAGAGATGGTCTTACATCCGTCTCAAAATCAGTTTCATTTATTGTAGTCATTTGTTGCGGTAAAAATTGTTCACTTGCAATGCCAGAGAATTGAACTGGAACACTTGTGAATTGCGGTTGATGGTGATAAGGATATGTTATAAATTGAGGACTTCCAAAATTTTGAATTTGGTGACTATGTTGTTCTATATTGGTAGGTTCAGGCCAAGAGAATTGATTAAGGAAAGAAGCAGCATGAGAGAGAGATTGAGCTCTTGCTCTCTTGTGACTTGCCATAAACTTAATTATTCCTTTACAATATTCTGCGTCCCCTCCTTTCAAAATATCGACTTCGCATTCTTTAACGAATTGTTGGAATTCAGAGAAAGTTTTCGCAGCGAAAGAAACCGTATTGATAGTGGAGATTTGAGATGAATTGGTACAAGAGGAGAAAGAAGAGGTTTGTTGATGAGGATTTATTTTTCTTGCAGTTGTTGTTATATCTTCATTTGAAAAATTATCATTTTCAATTGAAGAGTAATCTTCTACACTAAACAAGGAAAAAAGAAAATTAAAATTTAACTTACTTATTGGTGAATCAAAGTCGAAATCTTGTGATGTGTCCTTTCCGCTCTCGTCGTTTCCCGGCGATCCGGCTTCGATCGGGGTGGCTGGAGTGGCGGGTGCGAGATTAAAGGTTTCCAAAGGATGATTATGATTATAAACCAGATGAATCTCACATGGGTGCGAAAGTTGAAGCCTGCTTTTTTCCAATCGAATTTTTGCCAAACATTGACAATTTGTATTTCGACTTCTTCGTTGACCGGCTTTCTGAGCATAAGTTTTTTGCATATATTTTATGGCAGCGATATCAGCATGTCTACAATGAAAGTCTTTATGATATATAACTTTAATGCCTTTTACTTTATCTGCTCTAGTGATACGAAAGATGGTCCCTGTCTTGTTATGAAATGCAGAGCGCCATTCTTCAATCGCCTCACTTGAAGCAATATTCACGTAAAATGTTGAATCGAAAGCGGCCGTAGGCGCACCAGAAAAACTTTCTAATTCTAATTCTTTATACGATTTAATAATGTATGTGTAATTATCGGGGAGAACTTGTTGTAGAAAATGAGGAAGTTGTTGATACGTCCTCGGTGTTGGCCTACTTGTAGTGTCGGTTCTAGTTTTTAACCGTTGTTGAATACGTTTTTGGATTTCTAAGCGAGAAGCAGCTGAATTAGAATTTACGTTATATGTAGTATTATTATTATTAATAGTAGACATTTCTTTGAATGGTTATTTACGTAAAGAAAAAAATTTTTTTATTTTATTTTATTTTAATAAATTCTTAAATCGGGGTTATTAGTAAATAAGTTTTGATGTAAAAATTTAGAAAAAGAAAAAATTGAAAAAAAAAAGAATTTCTTTGAATAGAGAAACGAAACAAAAGTCGCGTTATATATATACAAAAAAAAAAGGTTTTTGATCTGAAATTGTTCCTTCAAATAACATAGTCTGTGGAGATCACCCTCCGAGACGTTAAGCATTTTTTTATTATTGTTAAATATTATTATTATTTAAAATATATACAAGTGATCATTAAAAAACGTTTGTTTGTTTTTTTTGGGACGGGTTTGTAGGTGGCTGTACGATACTAAAATTCCATTTGCAGAAAACTTTCTAAAAATACATTTAGGTTAAACGTGTTAACCCTTATTATGCATAGATCGGCGACCCTAACTTTAGAATTTAGTTTATAAATAGTTATTTAATGACTATTCTTATTCAGTTATATCAGCATTATTTTAATAAGCCTAACCCATATGTGGTTAATCAACTTCTATATTTAATATTTAATAGATTTATCATGGATTCATCTATTTATAATTACAAGATTATTCACGTAATCTTTTCTTTCTTGCGTGTTTATTGAATTCAAGGTAAACAACAACTTCAACTGAATTTCCACGTTGTAATGTCAACTGTGTGGCGTACCCTAAAAGTTTCTGTTGAAGAATTAAGATTAGAAACAACTTTAAAATGTGGTCAGTCATTTAGGTGGAAAGTTTCCGGAGAGAACGAGTGGTATATCTATCGACTTATACAAATATATTTTTAAAAAGTTTACAATAATAAAAATAATAAACAATATATGTATATGATTGATTAAATGCATTGAATTAAAAGGTCATGCGCTTTCAAAGGAAGACTTATCACCTTGAGGCAAACAAGTACGTAACTTTAATTTTATTTTTGTTTGTTCATAATATGAAACGACATAAAATGAATTAATCAAAATGAGTAAATTCATTTAACCTGATGATCACAAGTAGCTACGGACATTGATTACCGAACGTATTTCAGTCCTAACGTTTCATCGTCCAAAATTAATCATGAATTGGATAAATTACATGAATTCTTGATCGATTATTTCCAATTAAATACCGTCAATCTACGCGAATGCTATACTAAATGGAGTAAGGCAGATAAACATTTCGCAAGGATCGCTTTAAAGTTCAAAGGAATTAGAATATTACGACAAGATCCAATTGAAAATTTATTTTGTTTTATTTGTTCGACTAATAATAACATCAATCGAATTTCTCAAATGGTAATGTCGATGTAATGTTAACATTCTCTTTGGGACATTTTGATTCTATTTTTATTCATTTATTTATTTATGATTTAAATTAGGTTGAAAAATTATGTCGTCAATACGGTGAAAAAATATATACTTTGAATGGGGAAGACTATTTTGATTTTCCCATATTAGAAAAACTTACATCACCAAATGTTGTTGATGAATTAAGAAAACTTGGATTCGGATATCGTGCAAAATATATTGCGCAAACCGCGAAATACATGTGTGAGAATTTCTCGGATGGTGAAGTTTGGTTACTCTCTTTACGGAATTTGTCTTATAAAGAAGCGCACGCTGCTCTTTTAAAACTTTCCGGTGTAAGATAACGAATTCCTTATCTGTCAAGAAATTTTTTTTTCCTCGTTGATATAATAAGATAATTTTTTAAATATAATTTAGGTCGGACCTAAAGTTGCCGATTGTGTGTGTTTAATGTCGTTGGATAAACATAACGCTATACCGGTTGATACGCATGTTTGGCAAATCGCACAAAAGGAATATGGATTTAATGCGAAAATAAAGGGAGCATCAAATTCATTGACGACTCGTAATTATGCGGCCGTTGGTGATCATCTTCGAGAGATTTTTGGAGAGTACAGCGGATGGGCTCATTCTGTAATCTATTAAATTATTTTTTAAGTTGCAATTTTCTTATTGTAGAAATTTTATTGAACTAGATTTTTTTGTTGTTTTTTTTTATAGGTGTTATTTACTTCTGATTTAAGGCCTTTCGAAGATCGTTCAACTTCTGCACGAGAGTCAAATTCAATTTCATCTACTACAACGATGATTACCGAAAAACGTCAAATAAAGATTAGTCAGGAGATCAATTCCAATATTGTCCGAGAAAAAAGTCTCAACAACAATAATAATAAACGCCGCAGATCATAAATTGACAATTCTATTTTTAGCATATCGTACAAACTGGGTCGATCAAAACTCAGATCGACAATGATTAGTAAACTTGATAAATAAAAACCACATTTTCATTTGTAATACAACCGATTAAATACATATTGAATTTTTCAATATTTGGATCTTTAAGGAAATTTATAGGTTTCCATTGTTTATTATTGTTTAAAGTTATGATGATGTAAATAAAAAAACTTGTAAAAAAAAGGTTTAACTGAATTATGCAAAACATTTCTTATTTGTAAAAATGTTTTTAATCCAATTGCATAATATCGTGAATAGAAGGAACAATTTTTTTTTTGAAATTTATTGTCTCATGTTTGTGGCATATTGTTTTTTAACAAATTTCCTTTTTGTTTAGAAAATACACAACTTTGGAAGAGTTCATGAAAATTTATTTATGGTTGGTTAAAAAAAAAATGTCAAATAATGGAAAATGCGTTGATTTTTATTATTTAAACGAGTTCATTTATAAACTGCTTTGTTTTTAATTCAAGTATCTTTTTCTTTTTTGCCGAAATCAGAAATGTTGAACAAAATTTAGGAACCTTGCTCTTTACTCGTTTTTTGAGGGTAAAATATTTTTGATGTACACAAAATATTGGCAAGTAATTAAACCCGTATTTATAGTTTTCTTAAATTGCCCTTATTAGGTTTAAAAAAATAAAAATAGAAAAAAAAAAAAAATTAAAATTAAACAAGTGACTAATCAAGGGCTTTTTAATCATTTCGGAGAAATATTATTTCATAATCATTTGAGGAACTAACTTTATAGTAATTTCAATATACAAAAAGAGAAAATTCATATGAAATCTACAATCGATATAAACTATATCAAATTACAATTTTTTTTTTATTAATTATTATGAAATAATTATATATTTTTTTTTATTTTATATATATATATATATATATATATAATTTCCAAACGTTTAATTACAAATATTATCAAAAAATTTAAAGATGATTAGAAACATTTTATAAATTTATAATATTTCTTTTATAAGTATATTAAAATAATTTTGATTTAGATATAATTTTTTTATTTTATAATATTAAAAAATCAAATTAGCAAAACAAATTATTTTAAAAATATTATATAATAAATAATTTATATAGAAATACATAAAATAATAATTATATTTATAAAATATAACTTAATTAATAATAAAGATAGGTAAAATAATTATAATTATTTTGTATTATGTCTAATTTATTTTATTCTTACTATATAATCCGATATTTTATATTAAACATCTTATTTATTAATCCTCAAATTTTATATAAAGTTTAGATATTTTTTATATAATTAGAAATTTATTATATTTAATTTAATAATAATATTTTTATATTGAATTTATTTATAATTATTTATTATAATACTTTTAATTTTAATTTATATTATATATATTAAAATTAAAAAATAAAAAATTTATCAATAAAAATAATTTATTAAAATCAAATTAATAATTTTCTTTAAATATTCATAATTTTATATAATTTTACTAAATTTAATTTTATTTAAAAAATAAATAATATAATTATAAATATAAGTATTAAATCTTTTTTTGATATTATAGTTTCTGAAAATACTTTTATTTACATTTAAATCAGATTAATAAAAATATTATTATATATTATTTAATATATATCAATTTTAAGATTAAAACTATTAATGTTTTTTTTACTTAAAAAATATTATAAAAAAAAAGTAAATATATGATTATATATAAAATTATTTTAATTAATATAATATATTAAAAATAATTTATAAAATTAGTATTTATATAAATAATTTAATTTTAAGTATTATATTTTTTAATAAAAAAAATATTAAAAAAATTGATTAAAATATTTAATTAGATTAGGATCCTGGATAATTATATATAATATGAGAGGAAAAAAAATGATAAAATTTAAGGAAATTTACTCCAAAAAATTTTGAATTTTGTATTCATTTTTATATATACTACATTTAAAAAATTTAAAATTTACCTGAATTTTTATATACTAGATTAGTAAAAATTATTTTATTTTAATTTTTTTGTTTTTGATTAAGATAAAGTAAAATACAAGTTAAAATACTATCATTAGAAAAAGTTTGATAAATTTAGTATGCATTAGATTGTAATGTATACATATTTGTATGTAATTTCTCTATTTATATTCCAAATAATAAAGTATTTATTTAAATGATAAATAACAAAAGTAATCATATTCTTCATCACATTTTAAATAAAACAAGTTATATCGCAAATTTCTGAATATTTTGATAAATACAAATATAATTAGATTAATGTCATTTATAAGTTCTTCGATATATGAATAGTTGTTTTTAGTTAATGTACAGTAATAAATTGCAAGTATTTGTATAAAACATATTTCCTTATTAATTAATACTAACACAAATTTTCCTTTTTGTATTAGATAAATTATAGAAATATTTGCTGTACTAATTGATGGAATATAATTTAAAACTATAAAAAATAAAATATTTAATTAATTATTAACTAAAAATCATTAAAGTTAATTAATTAATTATATTTACTATTATTTGATAATTACAATCCTTACAAATTTTTTAATATTTCATTAACATTTTTAAATATTTTTTTAATATTCTATCATTCTAATTATGCTTTAGGTAATCTAGTGGGATACCACGCTTTAATATGATAAGTATAAGAAAATATAAAAATCATATAATATGTACATATTATATGATTTT